CCCACAACTTCTGGAGGCAAGCCGTTCCATTGATTGATTGATCTGGGATTATACAATAACAGAATTGTGGAGTTGGAAGGGACCTTGGGGGTCTTCTAGTCCAACCCCCTGCTCAAGCAGGAGACCCTAGACCACTTCAATCGATCAATCAGAATAGAGGTGGAAGGGACCTTGGTCTTCTAGTTATAATAATAATAATAATAATGATGATGATGATGATGATGATGATGATAATAACAACAACAACAACAAAACAACAACAACAACAACAACAACAACAACAACAACAACAACAATAATAATAATAATAATAATAATAATAATAATAATAATAATAATAATAATAATAATAAAGTTGGAAGGGACCTTGGAGGTCATCGAGTCCAACCCCATGCCCAGGCAGGAACCCTACACCATTTCAGACAAGTGTCTGTCCAGTCTCTTCTTAGAAACCTGGGTTCTAAAGATCTTGAGCCTTGTCATCTAAAGGCTTTCAAGAAGAGATTGGATGTCCCTTCCCATTCATCCAAGAGAGGCACGGTCTTCGTAGGACTGTGTCGGAAAACTCACTTCTAAAGAAAAGCCAAAGTGGGTTTATTTTTATTGAGCAACCCCCCCCAAAATACTCCTGGCTCCCCAAAAGGACAGCTAAGACCTCCAGTATTTTGCTGGCCTAGACCCCATAGAGGCTTCATCCAATCTTCAGGAAGATCTCATGAAGAGGGAAGGGTGGCCTTTTCTCCAGAGAGGAGAGATCAGAACGTGTAGGTGTTAAGTTTTGCCACACCTATGCAACCCATTTTACAACATGCCCGAGGGATGAAATTACCAAATCCAGGAGATTGCAAGAGAAAGCAGAGAAAGACTGCGACAGATTTGCAAGTTGGCCAACAGGGGACTTCGCGAACCATAACATCATAGAAGGCCCATGGAAATAAAAGTAAAGGCTTCTAGAACCGTTCTAGGAACTGAAGGACCCTTTGGAGACTCCTCCTCGTCCCGGGGAACTCCATTGGCCCAAGGCCTATCAGTAAGGAGATCCCGTGGAATCCATCCTCCAGGTGATGCCAAGTGACCGCCACCCCGTTCTCTTCCAGCCGCCTTTTGTAGAGCAGGCCGTCGTCTCGGAAAATGTCGTATTCGCAAGTCAGAAGGAAAGTCTCTGGAAACTGCCGGAGGACGGCATCTTCGGCCAGGAGTGGAGAAAACCTGGGTTCCAATGTTCTCTCGAATAATCTGAAGAGGTCTTCTGAAAACAGACTGGGTACAAACGGCACGTAACCCCGGACTTTAAACTCCTGGGGAATGTGGTCCGGGCTAACCCACTTCTGGTACTTGGCCCTGACCTCCTGGGACAAGTGGGCGTTGGCCATAATGCCATCCACGCCGCTGTCACTTCCGGTGACATAACGCATGCCGAAACTGACGGCGTATCTCTTGAACAACAGGGGCACCGAGTGGTTTTGCTGGTAAGAAGGCAGGTTGAAATCCAGGGTTTGGCCGTAAGGGTAGAGGAGCACGTGGGCCTTGACCCGTGGCAGGTCCTTCCGTGACACCAGCTCTTGAGAAACGGCGGCCACGATGGCACCTCCACTGCTGTCTCCACCCAGCACGATCCGTTCTGGGTCCACCCCGTAGTCCTGCGCATTCTTCAAAAAGTGCGAGACGGCAGCGTAGCAGCTGAGCTGTTGAGCTGGGTAAGGATGCTCTGGTGCTAAGGGATAGCTAAACCAACATTGAGTTAAAAAGAAATCTCTCAGAGGCATTGGGGTCCCTGTTGTTCCTATTGTTCTTGTTATTTTACATTTAATTTTCAATTCGATTCACAGTCTGGGACTAGTGAAAACTCAACACTTCAAGTCCTATTCTATTCTAAATTCTATTCTATTCTATTCTATTCTATTTTCTATATTCCACTCCATTCCATATACAGTATTCTATTCTATTCTAATTCTATTCTAATTCTATTCTATTCTATTCTATTCTATTCTATTCTATTCTATTCTATATTCCACTCCATTCCATGTATTCTATTCTATTCTATTTTATTCTTTATTATTTCTATTGTATTCTATTCTATTCTTCATTATTCTATTCTATTTTTTATTATTTCTATTGTATTCTATTCTATTCTTCATTATTCTATTCTATTCTATTCTATTCTATTCTATGAGCTTTTAA